TATGCTGAGATTTGGGTGAAAGTAGAACGTGACTGCCATTTTAATGAAGATTTGGTTTATACCTACTGTAAGTATAGTTTCAGTTTTGCTCTTGGAATGTGGGCCTAACAGTATTGGCAACACATATTCACAGATTTCCAGATGTAAATGTGTGGTGTGCTTTACTTGCTAAAAATAACATTCATCCTGGATGTTGCAATTCTGTCAGTTGAAGGTATTTTCTCTCTCTGAGTTTCATCAGCCAGACACGGTTTATCATTGGCTGGTTTTTCCATTTTAAAATGCAGCTGATGTCTCTGTTGGTGTGCTATCAACTAGTTCCACATGTAGAAGAATGAATAAATCCTGGGAGGTTTGGAAGATTTCTTTCTCAAACTCTGTAGTCTTTGTTAAATATAGTATTCAAAATATTTAGTGTTAAGTTCAGTCTACATATTTTCCCGGAGTTGAAGGCATAAACAGGATGGTTTATATTCTACCAGAAGACTTGTCTTTGTAAGCCTAGTAGAAATTGATCTTCATTGTTCAAATTTAGCTCAAATTGAATGAATGGTCTCAAATATATGCATGTATACATATGTGTGAGCACTTACATACATGCATAGTCAGCATGGGTTTACAAAGTGTTAGTTCATAGCATTTATCTCTTTTGTAAAACAGTAAAACAGACTTAAACTTTGAAACATAAAAAAATTATTCCAAGGGTAGTCTAGACATGTATCTATTTTTAATTTTCTGTAACTGTCTTAATGACAGAGTTCTGTTTTGCTGAGAAGGGGGATATATTTTTTTCAGTATATGACTTTTTAATTTGGTTTTTGAAGACAGTGTCATGTAAGTGGTGAATGGTACTGGTAACAGTACAGTTACATCAGTCTGAAGCAAAAATTGTGATTTCTAACCATCATCTTTTTAAGACAGGAACAATATATACTAATACAGATCTCCAGTCCTCACTGAGAGCTCTGGACTAATCATTTAGTGTTTATTTCTAAAACCTCTTAATAATAATTTATTTGTTTTTTTACATCTCTCTTGACGTTTGTCTTTTTGTTAGAACTTATGGCAGTTTTTCTGATAACTAGGTAAAATGCTTGCATGATTTAACAAATAGAGTTTGAAGAATAGATCAAACTGTCAGCCTGGACTCTGAAAAAATGTGATGACTTCAAGTCTCATAAAACAGACCATTCTGCATTTCCCATTTTCCATTGACCAAAAAAAAAAAAAATGATGTAGTCTGGTACGTAATGGGTACCAGGCAAGTTCTGTGATCATACCAAGATTGGGGTGTGGTGGTGGGGTGGGAATTGGAGGGAGAATTGAAGCAATTCCAGAAAGTGTTACAAATTCTGTATTTCAAATATATTTTTGGATATTTTGAATCTTTACTTCCAGAAAAAAAGCAATGTAGGTTAGAAATGGGAATTAGTATTACGAAAGACTTGCTAGAAAGTATAGCTTACTGAACTTCATGTAATATCTGTTCTTTTCTTAGAACAGGCATGGGTAATTTGCAATACATTTTTAATGGTCAGTTGGTAACTGCTTGTTCCCTATTACATTTGTTTGCATTTCTCTTTCTGGTTTTGTCACTGATAATATTCTTAAAGTTGGCTGTGTTTAGCAAATACCTGGTTATTGACTGGCTTGTTCAATATAGACTAGTGTAGTATATAGCAGGTTCTACCTTGTCTTTCCCCTCAATTTCCACAACTCATTTGCCTTGAGAATTCCATGTCTTAGTCTGCTGCAGACGTACTGTTTTGCACACTGAAGCTGCTGCTTACTCATCATTTTCTATTTCGCTTTTATATCAAGCATACACATACCTACCAGTATCATTTGGATTAGGCTAATTTTCTGTTTAAATATAGCCATTTATACTCAGTTGTTCCATATGCTGTGTCTTCCGAAAGTCTTTCAGTCTCTGTTAATATCTACAAGAGTGTTTTCGTGATGTCATAATTTTGGCCTGAACACCAGAAAGGATTCGTATGTTCAAACACTCCATAAGAATAATTTAACAAATAGCTGAATACATACCAAAAGGTGACTGCCTGGTGAAGAGCAATGTAAGAATAAAATTATAATGAACTAATACTATTACTTTATTAATCAAGCACGACTAGAAGGTGCATCTATTCATGCACACAGCATACTGTTCCATTATTTTCTTAGTGAAGGACATAAGAAAATTGGGGTGTTCCATAATATTGATCAAATGGTAATGGCAGGCAGCCCCTGAATTGACTGCTAGCTCAATCAATTTTGCTCTGCAGTGCTGCTAATCTTAAATACAGCTTTGTATGTATTTTAGAGACCTGAGATAAAGAAAGTAACTGTTACTGATCCTGGTAATATAAAAATGGATATTAGAATAATTTGTCGCATAAATGCAGTGACATTTTTCTTCCAAAGTTGAAAAGCGGGCATTGCTTTTGATCTGAGAGTATTTAGCAGCTTTCCGTACAGAAACTGTGAAATATGAAATGGGCATGTTACTATAAATCATTCTTCAATGTTAGCCTTGCTGTGATGAAAGAGCACTAATACAGCGATTAGTTTCATTTCCTTTCATCTGCAGAACTAGTGCAACTTTCTTGCTTTGTCAATACAGAAAGTAAACAAAAAGCCGTAATGTAAGCATTTTTATTCGTTTTAGAATTCTCTTATTTCTGAAAATCAGGGCAGTGTCTCAGAGTAAGTTTTCTAATCAGCTGAAACTTGTTCTCCACTGCTTCTGAATTATCTGATGTACATGTAGAGTGTATTGTATGAAGGAAGCAGAGCAGATAGATGTGTTCTGTGTCTGGAATAGGACCTAACTGAGATGACTTAGAAATTACATTATTATACATATGGGGTCAGGAAAAAACAGGAATGTTGCAATATTTCTTACAGTTCCTACAGAACAAATACTTGAACAGGCAGCACTATTGGTCTCTCTTTTTTATGAGCTCCAGTCAAAAGGGTGCTCGGGTTAAAGAACTCTAGTCCTTATTATTGTCTGAGAAAACCAAGAGCCATATATGCTCTGCATTTCATTTTTCAAGGGGATTTTCAATGCAGCAAAAAATTGCTTTACAGCTTCCTTTCAGCTAGTTAGCAAGATAATGTCAGTTACTGGAAGTATATTTGTGGTTGACATCAGCTGTGTTTTAGTTCTCTTGATTTAAGTTCATTGCAGAAGCAGATGTGCTACATGGCATACACATTGAAACAGGTAAAATCCTTGCCTTTCAAGCAAATTTATAGTGACCTTATTTCAATTTCTGAATACTATTTTAAAGACTGAATGGTAATGAAACACAGTGAAATAGGGCTTTCTCCTTGACCAATCAGAAATAGTCAGTTGCAGCGCTCCCTATGTGGGTGAAATATAGTATTCTCTTATTTAAGTTGTCTTCAATTTGTTACACTTAAATAGTAATCAGCATAATTCTATTTATAGGTAGTTTTTACTTGACTGAACATTGATATTTATATTAAAAGAACAATCCAGTTAAAAATGGGTAAGATAAAGTTTTTCACTTGCAGCTTAGCAACCTGATCAAATTATTCTTACTTCATTTATTATAATTTACATTTATTTAAGAAAAAAACCAAACTCCATCAACTGACAAACTATAAATCAGACTAAATAGATACTTTGAATTTAAATGCAGATTAAGCAGGATGTGCAGATGAAATTAAATTATCCAATATGATGACCTCCACATACTCCAAAGTTGCTTATTTACATGCTTTTTATATTTAGAATAAACCAAAAATTTCAGGGTTTGCATCATTTTCTTTATTGGTTTAAACTGAAATAATAGAAACAGAACTAGAATTATTTTTAAATGCTTTGTCATTTGTTAAAACCAGATTTTTGTATAGCCGACAATTATAGAAGTCTGTAGAGTAGTTCGTCTGTGCAGGTGTTTTTCCTCCTCACTTACTTGCACACTTAACATGATCAAAAATCTGAGGCTTACTTGCCTGCTTCTCAAAATTGATTTATGCCTCGCTTAGAGGAGTGTTCAGACAAACAGCCTCAATGGCATTCAGCTGGAGGAGGGTCCTTCTAATACGTGTGAGGAAGGACTGCCATAATAGTCACGCCCCTTACAGCAATTTTTCTCTGAGGAAGAGTGTTAGAGAACTTTGGTTTTCTTTTTTTCCCTATAACATGGAATGTTCCTGCTCATAACAGCAAATTGTGGTCTCCTAAGAAAAGTAAGTTCCACATGAACACCCACATAAGTAACATGTCAAATTTTAGTCGTTGTTTTAGTGGTGAGAAAATTGTCTGCTTGAGTAGATACCAGGGGTGTCAGTGGGTAAGGTGCAGCAAAGTTGTTACTTTTCAATATATACCCTAGGGCTGAAAAGTCTGCACAGTTCCATCCTAATTACTGTGCCTTCAGCTGAGCTTCCCTGATAGGATTTTTGTTTAGAAAGGTCAAGTAAAGGAATAATTTATTTTTCTTATCCTCCAGTACCAGCCTCAGATGATTTGTTTTCCTCCATAGAGTGTTGTCTCATACATATGTACAGGTCAAGCCACAAAAAGGGAAAATGTGGAAAATCTGGAAAAGCAGTGGAATGATCCCTAGGAAAAAGCAAGCAGTGGGTGGTGAGTGGTCATCATCCTGAATGTTGGAGTGAAGAAGAGGAAACTTGCATCCGAGTTATCTCACCCAAGCCACCAAAAGTGAATTACCTGGTTGTATCATTTCCACTTGCTTTGATAGACAATGAATTATGGGGTAAATGTTTTACTTCAGTGTTCACAGATCCCAGCCCCAAATCATCATATGTTTTATGTCTTCATGCTACATTTAGGACGCTTCTCTACCTTGTCATGACCACGAAAATGAGTGTATTCATTATGTTAATGGTAAATATATTATTGATTTGAGTTTAATTTTAAGCATCTTTTACAGATTAAAAATTTTCAGTAAAAATTTAATTTTACTTATATTCCTGTATATTTTAATTTATTTTCTCTGCAGATGATTCACACCATCAGAACTCTAGTTGAAAATACAGATAGCTTATATGAGAGGATAGTACAGTGTCAGAAAGCGGGTAAGTACAAGCTGCTTTTTAAAAATATTCGGAACTTACTGCATTTTTCTTTATTTCCCAAAACTTTTGAGTTTTTTTATTCAGCTGTAGCAAAAAAAACCCCAAACCCACCAAAACTCAACAATCAAACAACAAAAAAACACACAAAAAAAGAGATTGTTGTAATTTAGGCATATACAGTAAGAGTGAAAAGGACATTTCAAACCATAGAAATCAAGGATCCATAGAATTACAGCTTGACTTTGGAAATCACGAGCATTTCATATATGAACAGTAGCTTGTCAATATAGTCATTTCCACAAATGCAAATGTAGGATTACAGGAAAGAGAGCGATCTATCTAATGGGAGTTATTTATCTAAAATACTGTGGTGGTTTTGGCTGAGATAGAGTTAATTTTGTACCTAGTACCTGGTATGGGGCTTAGTTTTGGATTTGTACTTAAAACAGGGCTGATAATATTGAGATGTTTTTGTTATTGCTGAGCAGTGCTTACAAAGAATGAATTCCTTGTTTTGCTTTGCTTGCGTGTGTAGCTTTTGCTTTACCAGTTAAACTGTCTTTATCTCAAGTCATGAGTTTTCTCACTTTGACTCTTCCAATTCTCTCCCCCATCCTACCCAGTGGGAGTAAGCAAGTGTGTGGCACTTAGTTGCTGCCTGAGGTTAAACTGCAACACTACCAAACACAAAATATGTGATGCTGTCGTAAAACTGTTGTCTGGTAGACTTGTGTGCTTCTTAAATCATCTCCCATTTATGTGGTGATGGTGTGCCATATTTTTTTAGCGTCACCAGTATCTCAAGCAGTTTAGATCCTTGGTTAGAGGTAAGGCAAAAGGTAATTGCCCGTTTTTCGTATTTTAGAATTGCTGCTCTTCAGAAAAGATTGCTTTCTCCTAGCTTGTATGGATTCCAGTAAACTTCCATATATCTGATTTGCTTGCGTCTTACCACGTTATTTTACATGAAGGACAGCTGGGTCCAAGAATCCTTTGTTTATGAATGCTAAAGACGTAAAGCCCATGCTAAATAGTGGAGATTCTGATCTCATTTAAATGAGAACCCTCTAGCATGGTACATAAGCCTAAGTATGGATTATGTAATAGATCCTGCTATTTAGGGCAGCTTTAGCCCTGCAGGGTCAAGGCATTTTTTAAGATGAATGAACTGAACTGGATTACCTTTTAATATCAACGGTTTTTGAAGATTGTCTTATGACTGTTTGATCTCATGATTTCAGTAGATGCTGCTCTATTTAATTACAAATAAAAGATTATACATTTTCCTGTGTAGTTTCTTGATAAGGAAAAAGCAAAATCATGCCCTTGTTTGGGCTTTTTCGGTCTATGGCTCAAAGAGTCAAAAAGTTGCTAAAGTAAGAAGAAATACACAAGCTGCCAATAAGCAGTAAATTTTTGTTGTCATGGATAGGCTTATATGAGAGTTTGTTGAATAGGTAAAGTAGACTCACTCTCTTAAACTGTTTTCTGTCATTAAGTTTAATAATAAGACTTTTGGCCTTATAAAATTCAGAACTAATTTTAAAATGATTGCACTATTATTTTTTAGTTAGGTTGATGGCCTGTTGAATGAGCAAAAATACAGTTATTGAGATGGTTATTTTCAGAATTAATTCAGAATTAATGTTCTCTTAAGAGCATTAACTGTAAATATTTCTCCTTATTTTGATTCTTTAAACCATATAAAAAAATTACCTATTTTCTTCATATCAGCAGATTAATTTCAGCTCAGCACATTAAGTTCTTAATTAGTTATTGAAAGCATTTTAGATACATAAATAATGAAAAAATAAACAAATAATAGCATAATAGTGGTTTGGTTCCCACTGTTCTTTTCTTCTTCACAGAACTAAGAAAAAAATTCACATAACTTCAAGATGACTGCAGTGCCATTTATTTTGTTGCTATTAAGCTAGTTAAAGATCCTGTAAGAAAATATAACCTAGGTGCTAAAGGGAGTTGGAAGATAATCCAGTTCATTCCCTTAATCTCTTAAAAACAGAAAATGCTCCTATATCTTTGCTAGAGTAAAGAATTTGAATGTCTAGGTCACCTTACCCCATTCATAGCCTCCTTTGTACCCAACTCACATCAATCTTCAACTCCTCTTTTGAATCTTCCATTGCAGTCGTTTACTTTGTAATTCAAATACTGCCTGTGCTCATCACTACTTAAAAGAGAACCACAGCTTAGGAATCAATTTTCATGTTTAGCAGTGGAAGCTCGAAAGGACATGTGATATTCCAAGTACTCATTAAATGATGGGAGGCAAATAATGAGCAAACACAGTTTGCTGGTGGCAATTATTGAATGTAATCAAATGTAGATATGACTGTGAAACAGTACAGGACGATCTTTGAGCAACCTGGTCTACTGAAAGGTGTTCCTGCCCATGGCAGAGGGTTTGGATCTAGATGATCCTTCCAACCCCAAACCATTCTATGATTCTATAATCTTGTGAAATATAACATCGGTAAGGGTAAATTAATGAGTTAGGGGAAAAGGTTGCCTTGACAATACTTGCAGGGTTTTCTTTCTTGAGTTTTCTGTTTTAATTCAGAAAATGAAGTTATTGTATCCAGTTCTAGCAATGTCAATTTATGGCTAAAGTGATACATAAATATGCATTTCAGCATATGTGGGCTGGTAATTCAGATTCATTAAAAACATACATATTTTTTTCCATGTGGTTTTAGAGGCATAACCATCCCTAGTCATCTGTGCTGCCAGAACTCTTGTTCAGATTCTTATTTTCTGGGATCTTGGCTACACTATCCTTTTTCTACATTTGACCATTACAGTTTTGCTTTATGCATGTCATTTTCCTGGCTGTTGTTTTGATGATGTCTGTCCCTAGATGAATTTTGATATTTTTTTCTCATTGTGCGTCAAGACTGAGCTGCTTTTGCTTCTCTTGTGTTTGCTCATTTGGTAGCAAGAGTTTCCACTGCCTGATAGATTGTCAGCCATCGTCATGCTTTCTATCATGTTGTCCCACGGGCTCACTGTAAACATCCACCAGGCTACTTCCTTTGAATTTGTTTTTAAAATTATCCCATAAATATAGCTAGATTGACACATGTCCTCCTACCACCTTAACCAAAATAGTTTTCATTGCTGCCGTGTACTCCCTACTCTTTCTTTATCCATCTGTTCCCTTTCTTCCTCATACTTTGATTCTGAGTTGTTGGAGCAGGGACTGTGTTATTTATCCCATCTGTACAGTGACTGACTTTAATGATGCAAGTAGTGAAAGACCTAAAATGAGTACATTTTCTAATATGCACTCAAAGCAGTCCTTCAGCGGTGTCAGAAACAGGATACAGTTTCAAGAAGGGAAATATTTAGCCATTCTGGATGCTGTTGAAGATAAACACAGTACACATTATTTGTTGGGAAAAGTTGCATCTGGGCTGCATGCAGAAAAATATTAGGATGATGGCCATACCAAAATACTGCAAATACTTCTGGTAGTTGAAAATTAAAGGAATAAAATCAATTTTGTTCAAGTAGCTGTAACTCTTATTTCCCCACCATTACTGCTTAAGCTTTGCAGCAAAATGACACTTATGGAGCGCTTGAGCTGTTTCTTTTACTATTTGTTCCTGTTACTTGCTTTCTAAATTAGGTTTTGACTCAGGGTCCATGACTAGGCAATGACTAGGTTCCCAATATTTCGGCAGTTATACCTGGCTTGAAAGAGAATTTGCAGTGTTTATGGTCTGAGTACTGTGGAGTTTACACAAATTCAGCAGAACTTATTAATCCACGTCTTGCCTCTCATCAGCAAGTCTTGGCTTTTGATTAGAAGCCACTGCATTTAAACTATCATTTCATTAATAGGGAGTGAAGGAATGCTGCTTTATCTGTTATCGTTGGACTTCATGACTGAGAATATTTAATTTGTTTGACTGCATCAGTAGGATGTGCTGATCGTCAAGTTACATCTTAGAATTGGATCCATTACTGTATTTTTCATGAGGTTCACTGTCAAAAGTAAGACATCTACAATATTTACCACCGTCACGTAAATTCCAACATCACCTGCTATAACTAAAACGGCACTTTGAGGCCCCTCTCAGCCAGCCTGCATGCTTCTGAAATACCTACTCTTCCTCGTTTTCTCCATGTCTCCATTTTTTCTAAGCCAGTTATCAAATTGTCTTAGCTCCTTTTTCCATATTTGTGACAACATCATTTTCAATGTTTATTAGCACAATAGGCTTTCTGTGATAGCTAAGGAAATAAAGAGCATGTTCAAGGCAGTCCTTCATTTATGTCTCTTAACTTTCCTTCTGTATTCAGTCATCATTTTTTTCTTTCCTTTTTGCTCTGTCTGCTCCATTTTTTCTGTATTTTTTCTTTCTGTTTGTCTTTCCTCCTCAAACAACTCCACTAAGCCCCTTCAGGTACAACTCCACAGCAGCTTAGAAAAGGGTGCCAAATTTCTCAGGTGCGGAAGGTAGTAGTAAAGAAAGAAGTTAGATTCCTGTGGAAGTAAAAGAGATTCATTACTATTGTCAGTGAAACAACATGGGCTCAGCCAGATCTGAACACTGAAATTATAATGTGCCATAAATCAATGTCTTGATTAAGTCTGCTTTCTAACATGAAATAAAATCAGAAACGTTTCCATAAAATTTCACTGGTCTCTCTTGAGGATCAAGGCTGATAAATAAAAGATGGAAACAGCAGTCTGTAGGAAAAAATCCTCTCCCTTGTACCTCTGTGTTTGTGCCCGTTATCGACAGTCTTAGTTCATTCTAATAAATGTGATGGCTTAACTTCACCCACATTTAGAAATACAATCTGTCTTCACAGAAAAATGTCCTTGTGGAATAAAATTTTCTGTACATTGGGGGTGGAATACTATGTGTCAGTTTTCCAGAACAACTGTTTTAATATGTGAAGATCTGGCTTTATGTGTTGCTGTTTTGGAAGTACAGAATGTTAGTGTGGGTTTTATGTGTTTTGTCAGT